TATTATAAAAAACCTACAAATAAACGAAAAATAAGTGGCCTAGTAAATTGCTATAGCAACTACAGCTTTGTTTGATCGACAAGCCAACCAAAAAATGTGAAATAGAAAATGCCTGACCCTCATCAAAATTCAAAGCTGCTTTGTGACCCAAGTGCACTCGAAGCAGTGTGGCGTAATTGTCAGCGCATAATTATTATACGCTGCAGTCTCATTGTTTGAGTCAGGTAGATAGTGTTCATAGGACATAGGCGAGATCGAAACTGCAGTTCACACTTGATAAAAATGAATTTTAGGGAAGCAAGTCTATGTAAAATTCAACCATAACTTCAGGCTCACTCATATCATTGTGAGAAAATTTACCTAACGGTTTACTATCGCCCTAAACGAAATAGAATAAATAGGTCACATGTATATAAATAAAACGTCTGTTAGTTAGAGAATTTGATGGCCACAAGGATGTGTAAACCGGACTGATAGAATATAGAAAATATATTTAAATATCATATTATATCTTAGTTATTAGGCAAAATATTACTGATACAACAGAAAATGGCTAATACATTAGCAGTTACACATTATATGGTCATATTTTGTTTTAAAATGTTATAGTCCTTGGCGATTCTTTGTCTATTTTGTCAATGTCACGTGTAATCATATTTTAGTGCTTGTAGTGCAGCATTATAGCTTTTTTTATTTCGTATTAGCTTCCAAATAAAATTAATTCATTTTTTGGTGTAATAGTTTTGTCTTTCGATTATGCTCTTGTTGATTATATCAATTATTGCTTTTAACTTTACACGTCCTTAATATTCTCACTCTTACTCTTCTAGGTAGCTCCACATAATGTCGGAATAATTGGAGGTGGTCTTGCAGGACTCTCTTCTGCTTATTTAATATCTCTTCTTCGACCTAGTCCAGCTTATCATCTTTATATTATGGAATCATCTGCGAGGTTAGGCGGTTGGATACAGACTGTATGCAACTCTTCAACCGGTGCTTACTATGATTTAGGACCACACACCGGTCGAGTTGCGTCACCATCCTCGTCTGCTATTCTCCGTTTGGCACTTAGCTTGGGCTTGCGCGATTCCATTATATGGCTCAAAGATGATGGAGTAAAAACTAACAGATATTTGTTTTTGCAAAACAAAATTAGCAAGGTCCCGATCACATCCATTTTTGCTTCACCTCCATTTACGAGGTCTCCTTTTGGTCTTCTTTTACGTCTTGCATTGAGACGAAGAGCGTTTACTACAAACGAAAAGAACGACATAAGTATTGACGAATTTTTTCGGACCCGTATCGATGGTGAGTTTGCCGATTACATTGGTAGTGCATTGGTTCGTGGAATATTTGCTGGAGACTCTAGAAACCTGGGTATGAAGGCTTGTTTTCCACAGGTTGGAATAATGATTTTAATTCCGATATGCTTCTCTTCTTTATACCTCATTTTTTACTTAACTCTCAGTTTCACTTGCCTATAAGCACTTTACTGTTTAATAATATTGCCTAATCGGTATATCTAGCAGCGAATAGGATTAAGCAATGCACTCA